TCTCTCTCTCTCTCTCTCTCTCTCTCTCTCTCTCTCTCTCTCTCTCTCTCTCTCTCTCTCTCTCTCTCTCTCCTGCTACTACTACTACTACGACACCTGCCTTTGATCTTTTCCCTATTACCCAGTCAGCCCCTCTGACACGTAACGAACTGAGCTAAACAACCCATGGAGCACCCTCAGAGATCTCAGCTGCTATGGGTGTGCCCACTTCTCGCTTTCAACGGCGGACCATAAAAAATGCTTACCCGTTCATTCATCAGTTTGATACGGTAACGTCGAAGAAAAAGTACAAACATGCTGCAAAGTACAAACATGCTGCTCACTCTTACTGTTGTCAATCATACGTGCAAGGGCCCGCCAGTACAGTTCTACCTGTTCCCTCGAGTATTTTGACCTATTTTCCTACGTTTCCCCGATGGTGGTGTGCACCTACAGTAGCTCTACTCGTCGTGTGAGTAGGTGATGATCTGCTTTGGTCCATGTGGGATGTGCCCACTGCTTTATCATTGCTGCTCTGCTGCCCACTTGCTCACCTTGTCCTTGCGTGCTGCTCGCCCGTTTGCCTTGTCTTGCCTTTCCAGTCTGCTGCTTTGCCTACTGCTGCCTACTTTATCATTCTCATCTACTTCTGCTCACCTGGCTTGTTGCCTTGCTGCCCCGCTGCCTGCTATGCCCGCTCGCCTGCCCTGTGCTTTCCTCTTGCTATGCTACCTTGCTATGCTACCTTGCTATGCTACCTACCTGCTTGCCCTGTGTTGCCGTGCTGCGCCCCTGATTGCCATCTTGCTGCCTTGATACTCGGCTTTGCTGCTTTGCCTGCTGCTGCCTACTTTATCTGTGTGGGTCGCCACCTGCCCGGCTGTCCGCTCAAATCAAGTGTCGAAGTAGAACTCGTGCAAACAAGCAATCATGGGATTCTGCAGACTCCCTTTCGGTGCTTCACCGCCGATGAGGGTCAACTTTGCATGACTCTGGCGGTTGGTTGGCGGAGAGGTCGGGGGGTTTCTTGGGTGTGCGGAGTCTTGGCGGACACGTGTGTGACGCAACCAAGCTTGTAATTCTGTTCTTCAGAACTCGGCGTCAGCAATTTGTGGTGTGATACTGTAGCCCCTGGTGTGCACTCTGAGAGACTTGCACTGTTTGCACAGATCAGTGTGACAATGTGTCCTACTTGGATCATCTGGAGACTCTCTAAGTTCAGCTTGATGAGTAAGCCAGCATCCGAGGAAGAGTCTGTCATTAACCCTTTGTCTTTCTGTTGGTTGTTCTTGTACCCCGTCTTTTGCGAATGATATACATAGCCTTAGGAACAGGTGTGTGTGCCGTGGATGGGAAGGCAAGGATCATGAAGTATGCGTTGTTGTGGTCGTTGATATGCGGACGTTCATGGTGGTGGTCTGTTCAGATTTATTGTCCAGGCCTGATTTAGGCAGGCCATGAGAAAAAAAAAGAAAAGAAAAAAAAAGCCTTTGTTAAGCCACCAGTACACGGCCCCAGCCTTGTAGGACAAAAAAACGTCCCTGCCACCAAAAAATTCGGCCCTGACTTCTTTTTCTTGTTCTCCTGAGAGTGTTTTGTATGGTGTTGTCTACTTGCTATGTGCTTTAGCCTTTTACCGTTTGTTTTCCTGCGTACCAATGTCTAGTGCCTTTAAGTTGTGCCAAACAGTCGATGCCTGTTTGTATGTTTGGATTGCCCGGAAGGGACGGAAGACTATTAAGGGGTCACCTGTGTTTCAGATACCTGTGTTTCTGTGTTTTCCAATCCTGATAGACATTCACTGGATGGCTTGATGGTGGTGTGCATCTACATTCTGCTGGGTTCTCCATGGAGGTGATGGTCCACTTGGTTCTTCACTGCGTCCATGGATTCCTGTGTTGCTGTGTGTTGTCATGTATTGGTGATGATCCAAGGTCCATGGACCAAGCACCATGGTTCTTCGGTGCAAGGTCCAAGGTTCAGTGTTGTGATGGTCCAAGGTCCATAGTTCTTCGCTGCGTCCATGGATTCCTGTGTTGCTGTTTGTTGTGATGTGTTGGTGTCCTGCCCACCGGCCTGCTTGCCTTGCGGTCCAGTGGCTTGTTCCCTCGCTTCTCTCGTCCTTGCTCCTCGCCATGCCGCGGTGCTACCCCTGACACACATAAATTGAGAAATTGGCCTCTGTACACTTGACTCAACTGTGCGGAATCTCTCCCCCCCACATGGCAACACACACACACACACACACACACACACAATCAGTTTTAGGTATGCTTGTTTTTCCTCTTTCTCCTATTTTTTCTAAGTGCTTTTTGTATCTCTAGCCGAGCACCGTCTAGCAGTGCCAAACAGTCGGTGGTTCCTCGTTTGGAGTGCCAACTGCACTCTTAGGGGGGCCGCTCGGTTCGGGATGTCTGTGTTGCCTGTCGGCGATGACGGATGGTCGTCGGAGTGTCCCCCTGGCTCAGCGGGTGGTGGGAACCAACAGTCTGCAGGGTTCTATCGTGATGTGAGTAGGTCATGTGCTGCTTTGCTCCGTGTTGGATGTGTAGACTGTCTTGTCTGCGCTCTGCCGCGGTCTTGCTGCCTGTGCCGCTTGCTTTGCAGGTCGTCCTTGCTGCTCTGCTGCCTTGCCGCCTACCCGTGGGTCGTGCCTCCCGTGTCTTTTGCTCGCGTGCCTTGTGGTTTGGTAGCCTTGTGGCGGTGCCTCGCACTTCGCTGCACGGTTGCTGAGCTGCTTGTCCGTGTGCCCTGTCGGCCTTCAGTGTACTTTGCGTGCATGCCTTGTAGTTTGGTTGCCTTGTTGGTGGTGCCTTGTGCTTCACTGCACGGTTGCCGAGCTGCTCGTCTGCTTGCCCTGTTGGCCTTCTGCGTCCTTTACTTGCTTGCGTGCCTTGTAGTCTGGTCGCCTTGCTGATGTTGCCTTGCGCTTCACCGCACGGTTGCCGAACTACTCGTCCGCTTGCCCTGTCGTTCCTTGCAGTCGTCTTTGGTGATAAGCAGTTGGGCTGCCTCTACTGTGTTGCCTGGTGCTCCACAGGGTTGCTGCCCGCTGCTATGTCCCGCTTGGGGACAGTCTGCCTTCAACATGGGTCAAAGGGTTCATGACCCAAACCATCAAATACGGGGATTCCGCAGATTGTCGAGGGTTCAGCCTCCTGATGAGTCGGTGCAACTCCGACGAAACAATCTTGTTATCATCAGTTTTCGTTTTTTTTGGGTCTTGTTTCTTTGGGGACTTCGTTTTTTTTGGTTTGCTTGTTTGGTGTGTTGGCATGTAGTCTGCCCTCCCGCCGCCTATTGTTCACCTCTTGGTCCTGGTGTGCCCTTCGGCCTCCCCCATTCCCTCCATCCTATGTGGGACTCTAGGAAAGCTGGTCATGATAAGCTGCGGATGTACTATGAGGTAGCCTCAGAGAAGGAAAGCGGCAGCGGAGAGCGTTAGTTTGGACATGACCAGGGCCTAGTGTACCACTGTGGTGGTGGGGTGCATGGCATGGATTTGCCGTGGGATCTGATTTTTATACACACCCATGCACGCACGCGCGCGCGCACACACACACACACACACACACACACACACACACACACACAGCCCTGTGAGGTTTCACTTGGAGTAACAGCTGAGTCAACCTTCCTGAGCCCTGGTGGCTGAAATTTACACGCATATAGTTATTTGATACATGTTGATGATAAAGAGATCCAGAGTTCGAATCCGGTTGGATAGAATCAGGAGATGAGCTAACCTTCTCGACGTTTCCTTGGTATTGAGAAGAGGTGTTGCAGTCTTTCTGATTCTTCGTCCAAGCTAAGGATGCTAGACCACGTGGGATACAGGAGCTGCTGCCTGAGAGTCCCAAGAACCATGTATGGCCTTTGAGGAAGAAAGAACACCAGTCCTCCCGCATTGCCGCATTCTTTGCTTTCTCTGTCATCTGTCACATCCTCCCTCAATTCGTCCTCCCTTTTCTCTTGAGATAACGACTTCTCAAGCACAAGCACAGGCTCTGCACCATCTTGAGTGCCAGATGCATGAGTCGTGTTGCTATGATAATCAGCACCGCCTGGCTTCATCATCGTTGACATTTGAGGGTCACCTTGCGCATCACTAATGGCTATATGTCGCCGTATTGTCCCTGCACCAGATTGCCAAAGTCCCGCAATTGCCCGGAGCAGTGAAGTCTTCCCACTGCCACTGGGTCCCATTACCTGTTGCATGATCCAGAAGGTTACATAAATAGTTCACCTTATTTGTCATAAACAGAAGAACGAAAGAAAAAAAGAAAAAAAGAAAAAAACAAGGAAAAAAGAGAGAAGAAAAAAAAAGAAAAAGAAAAGAAACTTAGAAAAGAAAAGAAAAGAAGACAGATTTGGGTCAAAGGGGGTTAAGAACATATGGCACTACACGCACGGCCCCAGCCTTGCACAAATATGTTCGTCGCCTACTCCAAAAATTTGAGGCTCGGGCTTGCGGGACCACAATGGCTGGCTGGCTGTACCAGCCAAAAAGGAAAAAAAGTGTGCCGCTGGCGGTTCGGAAAAGCTTGGCGTGCAGTACGGCGCCTCCAGGCCCCGGTGTACTGGTGGTTTAAGATTAGGTGAGAGTCGTCCATTGAAAAAAAAAAAAAAAAAAAAAAGAGTCCTGCATTTTGATGGAATTAGGTGAGAGTCGTTCATTAAAAAAAAAACGAGTCCTTCTTTGCGACGGAAGTTCGGAGAAAAGAGAGAGGAGGCAGGTGGCACACCGACGTTGTAATTGGGCTAAGGACCTAAGGTAGCATGAACCTAGACAGTTTTGCAACCAGATTCCTGATTTCTGATGGAAGTTATGAACCCATCACTCAAGCGTTAGGATCTGGCCATAACTTTCGGAGCAGCTGCTTCGCTCAAACCTTATGGTTCTGTGAGATGGTAACAACATTTATGTATTTATTTATTTTAAATTTTAATTTTAATTTTCTTTCTTTCTCTCTTTCTTTCTTTCTTCTTCTTCTTCTTCTTCTTCTTCTTCTTCTTTTTTTTTTTTTTTTTTTTTTTTTTTTTTTTTTTTTTTTTTTTTTTTTTTTTNTTTTTTTTTTTTTTTTTTTTTTTTTTTTTTTTTTTTTTTTTTTTTTTTTTTTTTTTTTTTTTTTTTTTTTTGGTCACGTGTCCATCCTACTCTAATCATGAACAGTTAATGGACCAGCACGATGGCACGCACCTTTCAACTTATTGAGCAGCATTGAGCAGCATTGATTGCTCTCGACGAAGGAGATTAACTGCTCGCCATAGTCAGAAATTTAACCCTAGTCTACAACCCCCACCTTCATCTAAAAAAGTCGTTCAACACCGCGAGGGGAAGAGGTAAGCAGAGCAGGGCGGCAAAATTCAATTAACGGCGCCATGAAGGGAAGAAGTGTGCATAATCAGGCTGCGCCCTGAGGGGAAGAGGTGAGCAAAATCTGGCTGCATTCCCCAACCGTAGTCGACACGTCATTTCCTTGCTTCGAAACCCTCGTCAATCAACAAAAGCATTGTACAACACTTAATCAGACCATGCTAATCAGACCGTGACAAAGGGGGAGGGGCATCCAAAGCAAAAAACGCATCAAAATCACACATCCCACGTGACAGGCACATACCCATCGCACCTATGCATCAAACCTGACACGTGGAAAACTTTATTATTACAAATTTACAATCCCTTATATGAGAGGCCACAAGGAACTCCAGATAGCGCCTCATATGCTATCAGGCCACAAGGAGCTTCAGATAGCGCCTCATATGTTGCCAGAAGTACCCCGCGGCCCCGTTCTAATCGTCTCCCCTATCTCCCACCTACCCCACCCCTGTTCGCGCGAATCCCACATCCCCAGCACCAGACGGCAGGCAAAAGGATGGCAGACCAACAGCGCTGTCCACGACCCTCCAGCCCAACCCTTCCCGACAGACTTATCTTCATTGCCGACGCCCTGGCTGACTCGGATGCATGCACAAGGGCCTCCAGTTTTGCTGATGTCATTATTATTATCGTCGTGACAGAAGCTGCTGTCGATATGATCATCCCCTCTGTCGATGCTGATTCCATCGTTGTAGTCAACGATGTCGATAGTGTTTTCAGTGTTGACATCGTCGGTGATGTTAACGGTTTTGTTGCCATCATCTCCCCCACGCTGCTCTCCTTCAGCACCGACGCAGTCGTTGTTGTTGTTGTTGTTGCTGTTGTTGTTGTCATCGCACATGTCCACAAGCAAGTAAACCTGTTGCATACTGTAATGTGCAGACCAGAACAAGAACCGACCTCTCAATACAAAGTACAAGATAACACAGCGGAAGACTTAGATACAAATGATCCGAACAATCAATATTGCAATGCAGCTCTGAACACACATCATCATCATCGTTATCTGGTGTGAAGGGGGTCTGGCGCTTCACACAAGAAGACTGCGCCAGCCCCAACCATACACAGACGAAGAAGGAGGGGTTAGACAAAAGAGGAGGGAATATGGGAATGTCGTCAACACCAAGTCTCGGTACAGGCCCAAATAGTCCCTCGACGAAATGTCTGAATCCCAATGTCCAGTCTGGATCCAATGTCGTCAAGTCTCAAGTCACAACTCTTTCTCTCTCTGTCGTAGTCTGAGAAGTCAGGTGGCGAGAGGGTGAGAAGAGATGGTGGACTTAGAAGAGGAAGAAGAAGAACTCTCTCTCTCTCTCT